GTCAAGCAGGCAGCTGGTCGTAAAAACCTAGCCAATAACACTAACAATATGATTCTGGTGTTATAATAATAAGTACTATAATAATATGTTATAAATAAGTGTGAGTCGATCTCGTAAACTGAGGTTTTTACACAGAGTATTCACTGTGGCAAGGTTACGCAACAATCTTCATTGTTGCACGAATGGGCTGGCCCGTCTGAGGGAGTACCACGATTTTTCGTCAGGTAAATGAAGTAAGCGGAGCGCATTTCATTAAAAGGTGGCAACGCATCTGCAATCTTGTGTTGAAAATGTCCATGGGAGACGGTTATCGCTTAAAATTAAAGGTCTCATTAGGTTGTACTTGCAAGTGCAAAGCAAGAACCATTTTCACACATCCTTCTCCTCGATATATTCTTTGATATTATAATATTTTATCAAAACATTTGTGATTGAGGGCTACTGAATTGAGGGACTGATTGAGGGCAAACGGCACTTCCGTTTGATCTAGTTTTGATTCCCTAGTGAGTGTCAAAATGTTATGGTATTGGAAGTTTGGAGTTTCTCATCTCCAAGAGACGATTTTTCTGAATGTATGATATTAATTTCAGCTCGATACCTACTTCCTGGTAAAAAGGGTATTTTCAGACATCAGACCTCACCGAGGTGAAATAAGGGTAGGAAAAAGCAAGGAGAAGCAAACCTTTAACAAAACCCAAATTCAATTTTGTGGTATATTATATTGCGAATGTAATTTAATACAAAGGACCTTTATAATACTCAAGTCATTTAGAACCTTTTAGATTCAATTTAATTCTTAAGGCTCATGCTTACAAAATATGAGAATTGGTCATAACCTCGACGGAAAACTGGTATGCTAAAGCTGCATATAAAACATCACCTATTTACAATACAAGCCATAGTTTTTAACAGTGTGCCTATTATATTTCTGCACTGTGATAATACTTCTCAAGAATCACACCTTACTACACTCACCTCAAACATAACGTTAATCAAAAACCGCAATGGCGTCAACAGCCAATGGATTGAAAGAAAAGCTTGCAATTTCCCGCCATCACAAATTTTCCCGCCAATAATTATTAGAACTAAGAAAACAATGACCATGAGTAGTCTTTTAGAAACATGAATACCATTCATGCAAAACGTTACTCACAGTCTCCGTCACGATTTTTCAGGTTAATAATTTGAAACGATGATATGATTGGCTAAGTGACTCACGCTTGTAGAAGATTCAATTAAAGGTACCATAAAATAAACAATGTCATGTGCGAGATTAGTCTGCTGACATTTTTAGGGTTCCATACACAAAAAGGTGAAACGGGACCCTATTACTAAGACTCCGCTGTCCGTCTTTCTGTCACTCCGTCTGTCACCAGGCTGTATGTCATGAACTGTGATAGTTAGACAGTTGAAATTTTCACAGATAATATATTTCTGTTGCCGCTATAACAACAAATACTATATTATTATTTAAATTTATATAAATACTAAAAAACAGAAAAAAAATATTTAAGTGGGCTCCCTACAACAGACAGGATTTTTGCCGATTTTATACATAATGATACAGAACCCTTCGCAAGTCCGACTCGCACTTGGCCGGTTTTTTTACTTAGCGTTTGTCATGACTAGGCTTAGTCATCGAACAGGAATGATTAGTATCTAAATAAAGTTCATTTCTTTACGTTCCATATCGGACGACATTTGAAATAATAGCTTTTTAGTAGAGAACCCGTTCTTGCAAAAGTTACAACACTTATATATCACATACAAAATGAAAACATTACATCATTTTATAAATTAGGTGGCAAATGTCGTAGTGTTTCACATCATGATGATAAATATTGTCACCGGCTTTGCAACATCCGTGAAATCACCGTTGCAAACTCTAAGAGAACTCATATAACGTTCCCACGAAAAAAAAAAACTCAAATACATACGTACTTCTGCATTGCATCGCGATCGGTGTTCTGTATGGCTATATAAACAGCAGAGGAAGCTATTGTTTTTTTTATGTGAGGAAGTGGCAAACGAGCTGGTGGTTCACCTGATGTTAAGTGATAATGGCCTGCCCATGGACATTTGCAACACCCGTAGGGTTAAAAATGCGTTGCTACCTCTTAATAATGTGGGCCCCGGCTACCTCACTCACCAGACGAAACGCAGAAGTGCAATACAGAGTTCAAATATGTACCGAAAAAAAAATCCTTTATGTTAGGCAAATTTTTATATACCTGCCTTTGAGTGATCATTGTCCTTGATATACGTGGATAACATTCTAATGATGTAATCTGATGGCTAAATATTTTTCTGAAATACATTTAATCAGACTAACGTTGTGTCCTATAACTGAGAAAGTGTAGCCGCTTACCTATACTTAAAAGAAACTTAACATTACAGTGATTTTTAGGGTTCCGAACCCAAAGGATAAAATGGGACCCTATTACAAGACTCCACTGTCTTTGTCTGTCTGTCCGTCTATGACCAGGCTGGTCCTCATGAAACGTGATAGTTAGACGGTTGAAATTTTCACAGATGATATATTTCTGTTGCCGCAATATATATAAAATAAAATAAAAATATTTAAGTAGGATAGATCCCATACAACAGAATTTTTATTCAATATTGTTCTGTGGATGGTTTGCTGTATGAAACACATAAAAATAATCTTCATCAATTATTCTGAAATAATGACAGAGAACGCAATAAAATGGCTTACCAAATCCCTCGCGAAAACTTATGAATCTACCAGAGTTTTGTGTTCCGAGAGAAATGATTTTAAAATGTTAAAAAATAATAAAGAAACAATTTAAGTTAGTGTGTTCCCTGTGTTATGTTATTCTTTGACACTTTTTCTGGGATTTACTATTATTTTTACACCATTTCACATCGCACGTGTTAATTTAATTTGTCTCTTACTTTCTGACACAACAGCACATATTATTTTCGGAATATGTAACCACAAATTGCGGTTTTATAGGTTATTATTTGTAAATATTGGGAAATATATAGCTTCTTTTACCATACCTTGGACTAACATATTGAATATAATAGCTGATGACTGTGCTATCAAAAGATTGTTCTGAGCTGTAAACTGTTGTTAATAATTTGGTAAAACTTTTGTTACTGTATAAATAAATATGGTTATTCAATGTATTACATATTAAATAGCACAAATTATTTAAAGTTGAGTATTCAACACTATCGAAAAACACGTCAAAATTTTAGTTCCATTAGAAAAGCGTGTTTTCGTTTAACAACTATTTTTTATATTTAAAGTTTATCACTTATTGAACACTAGCAACCCGCCCCGGCTTTGGTGGAATGCTGAATGTTGTGCCTCTTAAATTATCAGTGTTTCTCTACTATATTATTCATGAATTATACATATAAACCTTCCTCTTGATTCATAGAGTGATTTATCTATTAAAGAAAACCACATCAAAATCCGTTGCGTAGTTTTAAAGATCTAAGCACAGACAGATAGCGGGACGACTTTGTTTTATACTATGTAGTGATTACATTAATTAGTCGACTATATTATGTCCTAAGCACTAATTATTTTATTCATGTAACAACGTGGCAGGGCATTTAAAACATAAACGTATTTCACTGTATTTGTACCGAAATTCAAACGAGAATGTAGAAGAAGTTCCCCATTATATACTTTAATAAACCATTAATATAAAATGCTACTTGTAAAGTAGAAAATTGTAAGAAGTTGCCGTGGGGCCTATTTTATTGACTGACGCCAAATTAGAAAAGGATCTTAAAGTATTAATCTGTTAGAATCCCCCCATTCAATTCACTGTGTTGTGCTACTCAATGTAGGTTCTTTTGTATTTGTAAAAGTAATGTGTGAAAAATATAACTTATTTTTAATTAAAATTTCACTGAAACAATATTCAAATTCATCTAGACACAAGTTTTCATTATTTCCAACCACTCGACATATTAAAACGATTCTCCTTATTTGGTCAACAAATATAATACAATATATTTTACAGATTACACAGTACTAAGCCATGGTGCCTTTTTTTTTCATATACAGTGAACACAGCGTGTTATGAAAAACTAAGTAATTTCATATACTAGGTACTTATTATTTACAAATTTGATAACGAAACGTGTAACAGATAAGTAGTAATGAAAAATACTTCGAAATATAAAAACAAGCACAAAATAATAATTTCTTCAAAACTAAGTTTTCGTAACTTACGATTACGACTTAAACTTGTGCATTCCACGATCATTCTTTATTTCTATTTTAGCAACAGCTAGGGAAACAAAGAAACTGTCAAACTTCTTTCTGGCCCTCTATTTATACTGTGGTAGGGCCGCGCAACAGTTTTCTGCACGCAACAGCTGTTGCACAAATGAGCAGGTCCGTCCGGGCCAGTACCACGACCTCACAGAAGACCGGCGTGAAGTGGAAGTGTTAATCTTCTGCATTTCGTCTGGTGAGTGAGGTAGCCGGGGCCCAGTTTATTAAAAGGTGACAACGCATCTGCAACCCTACGCGTATTGCAAATGTCCATGGGCGGCAGTTATCACTTAGCATCAAGTGAACCGCCTGCTCGTTTGCAACTTTGTCACATAAAAATAATATCATGGATAGTGACGCTCCTAGGAAATTTGGTTGAGAGCATGTAGTCTCAACCAAATTTCCTAGGATGTCAAAATTGTGACTCTATGCTATTTAAAGATTTAGTAAAAATTAATCAGTATCAAAATCAATTACTTCCCAATTAAAAATCAACTCGTTCAAAAACTTTTGAGTTTATGACTATTCCATGCATGAACAAACCTCCCCGAAAATTCGATTTAAGAAAAACTAATTGACGGTGATTTAAAAAACATATAATTTTTTAGTGCTGTTTTTACTTTTGGTATCGATATCCTGTTAACAGGCATTTCAAATTACCTGTTATAGATTCTTTCAAGCCTATCTTATCGCAAAGGTTTCACTACACAATTTCACTTTCACAATAGCAGCGCAGTTACCTGCTTTCGTGTGGGGAGTCCTGGCCTTGGTGGATGGTCTTCGTGATTAGCAGACGCTCAGCTTGAATGCACATCACGGCCTCACCAGCTACAAGGCTAGTGTGGATCTGGTGGAAATGAAATAAATAATAATGTTGCTGCATGTCACACTTTTTACCCAAAACAAGTATATAAGACGATGAGTTTCGATTATATGTCAAACTTCGATTAATAAAGGATGTTTATGTGAATCCTCTAAAGTGTGTACTCGCTAAAGTCACGGGAGATGGGGAGGTAGGAGAGATGTAATTTGAGTATGTATGCCATATGTAGATCAAGTTCTTCGGGTAAACATTGGCAAAATAATCTGGACTTTGTGTCGTTCATGCAATGGTATAAGCTGTATTTTACCGCCTTCCTTGTTTTAATATAGCAAGCAAAGAAAATCAAAATTTGGAAGATGCAGAAAAACATAAATATGAATATAATACATACAGAAATAAGACAAATCCTCCGAAAAGAACTCCAACCCAGATCTTGGTTCATCGAATACAATAATTATAACCGGAAACATTCTTAGTCTTTTACATTTTTTTTTTGTTAAGAACTGTATACGATTTAAATACCTTATATTAATTTAAAACCAGTGTATCATGATCCTCCTGCCCAAATCCCCAAGGTGAGGTCGGTAAAATATAAGAATGGTATTGTTAGTGGTATTGGCTAGGTTTTTACGATCGGCTACCTGCCCAACGTCAGCCTTCTTTGGAAAAAACACCCAGAATTGGAACAATTATCTATGGATTACAAAAAAACCTTTCTTTTGTGGGAGTCGAACCCATGGCATTGGAACAAATAGCTTAGCGACTGAGCTTAGCACTGACGTAGTGGCTCCATGTATCCTGAATTCCATGGTACCCATGTGGGGTTGTTGATTTTACTGACTTAGAAAATCCTTATAATAATTTAGTGCCGTGTCAGTCTGTGGGCAAGCATACGTCTAGCAGTGGACGAAAACAAGCTGAAATGATTATGATGATAATGATACACAATATTACTTTGTAGCGGGAGCAGATTGATCTACTCGTGTGCGGTACTTTGCGATGGAGGCGAATCTCCTAGTTCTTCTTCGATATAAAAAGAATGAAGACTCAGTACATTTACTTGTTAGATGAAAGTCTTGGAGGGATTAAGCCATGCAATTCCAGTGCACACTCTTCGAAGCGTTTCCTAAACGATATCTAGTACCAGCTGGTGGTTGGCCTTTTTTACAGAGAAGGTGCCAAAGGGGCAAGCAACTCACCTGGCGGTGATTCCTACCTCCGTGTCCAAATATAACGAGGCGTCCAGGGTCTTTGACAGCTGGGCCATGCTCGAGCAGTTCTGCAGGATGAGGGCGACGTGGGGGATGAAGCAGAGCGCCAGCAGTTGCATTAGGAACTTACGGCGGCCCTGTCTGATAATAGAAATCACTTAAGTGTTGACTTACCACGTCATGAGAAAACTCGCTGATCCGAGTGTTTACTAATGTGTTATGAGTATGTTATGAGTCTGACGTTGCAAAAAGGCGTTATAAGTGATCTACAGGATCGCCACTACGCCATCACATTTTGTAGATACATTGTAAATACACAAATAAAGCCTTATATCCCATCCAAACCAGTAACTGTGACGTCATTATCGTCATTTTTCTGTGGATCTTTTTACATCACCGTACGTTCATTATTTCGCACACAAAGATGTAAATTATAGTTTAACTAGCCAAATCTTTAAATTGTTAAGTCTAAACGGCACCTTCCGTAGCAGAGGGAATAAATTCTAATCTTATTTGAGTGCTTATCGACATATAAGTAATAGCATGTACACAATACTTAAGGGACGTCAAACTATTTCTAATTCAGGCCTCTCATTACATTTAAGACCTCATAATGTCAGTGAAAAGCGGGCAGCTCCAGCTTAAGCTTAAGTGAGATCTTATCAAAAAATGAGGCGCTCTAGACAACACGTTAGTAGCAAACACTAAACTCTAACATAAATTGCTGTAAAGCGTTCAAGTCTGTACAGTAAAAACTTGCGGGGTATCAAAATGGGTTCATGAACGAAGCTCTGCATTGCGAATGGGCTTTGGTGTTGGTGTATCTCATTTGAAGAATTATTCAGTTAATAGCGGAAACTCTAGCATAAATTGCTGTAATTCGTATAAGTCTGAACAGCGACAATTTTGGCGTATCAAAATGGGGTCATGTACGAAACTGTGCATTGCTTTAGTGTTGGTGTATCTCACTTGGACGTGGGATTGATGTGGAGACAGCCGACTTTCACCGAAACGAAACGTTGCCCGTTCCTCTCCGAGGGTGTGGTGCACTGCGGTGAGGAACCGTCGACCTTCAGTGAAAAGGGCGCCATGCTGTAAGCAAAAGAGATTCATCTCAGGACTAACGGACCGGGCAGACCTATTCTCGAATCGACTTAGAGTCACAAAAAATGTCATTAAAACTTTTCCAGCCGTTTAGGAGGAGTTCAGTGACATACACACGTACAATAGAATTATATATATAAAGATAAAGGTGGCAAATAATACAGGATAGCGATAAGTGGTCATCTTAGATAGACCTAGTTTAATGCATGTTAATAAGGATCCTAGAAATAAGTCATTTAATATCAACTTTATGCATGCCTAGCAAATAGTAAGTAACTAATTTAGTAACCAAGATGAAAATTATCTTGGTCAAATAAAGGCTTTTTAATTTTTATTTTATTTCATCTTTATTATAAAGGTGATTGATTCCCAAGCATGGTTGCCAGAACTTTGGCCAGCGTTAAATAACGTAACCAAAACCACCATTAACATAATTCAATATTGTTACTTTTATGTATATTCTTATTTGTGTTGGATAAAAAAGTGTATTCATTCATTCATTCAAAATAATTCAAATGTTGACTGTGTTCAAGTTGGCTGATACCCAGTACCAAATATAAGAACAACATCATTCCAACATCTAGATGGGATATCAGCAGGAACATAAGGATAATAACTAAGATGGCATGGATGGTATTCAATGTTTAAAATGAACACCAACTAATAAAGTTACACTGGTAACTAATAGATTAACTTAGTGACGTTTAGTTAAATTAATTCAAGTTTGAATCATAGATCCAACTTATTTGTATCTCACTATCTATAACAAAAGTCAATTGTATGTCACGCGTTCCCCCATTTGTAAGCTAAGGTAAGTAATCATAATATTAATACAACAATTAATTAATAATTAATCAATTAGGTCAAAATCAAATAATATTCTAAGTTTTTTTAATTACTGTCTAATATTGGTAAGGTTAAAAAAATAAGGATAAAAGAGTCACTATCAAAGTTTTTTTTTTTTACTATTTGATGTTTTTGTTTTTTTGTCTCTTATTTTACAGCATAAAGATATTTTATAACGAATTAGAATTTCCTATTGAGGTGATTCTTATACCAGTTTAAACTTTTTGAAATTGATTCTCTTATAAAATTATTATTTTTAATTTCTAATCTAATACTTTTTACTTAAACAGTAAAAATCAAAACCAAAGTCAAATTGTAACGTGAATAAATGGGATTAGAACAATGGACTTTCGTCGCCTAGATTACTATTTGTAAGCGGCCAAGCCATAAGCCGACTTGATATTATGGGGGGACAACTTTATAAATTAGAGGTGCTATTATGGAGGGACAATCCATCAATTAAATCCTGGGACTCAATAATACACACTTCGTTCACGGTATATCCATAGAATTTATTTATTCGCAGTCGACGCAGCATCCGAGAGAAAAAGCAATGAAGGTATTTGACAAAGGTTTTTAATCAAGTCATCACTATCGAGCCAGTCAGCACGGCGAGCGATACCCTTTGTAATTACCTCGCGCTGACGCATCGCGTTTTGACGTCACAGTATAATATTAAAATTGTATTCTATCTCGTTACCCACAAACATCTAAATATAACAGCTGTTCTACTTTTTCTACTATATTACGTATTTCAATTATAATTTCCATGAAAGATATTGCCAAATTTCAAAATTTGCAGAGCGTGGCAAACTCGTAATGGGCGAAAATTACGAGTAAGTATAAGAGTTCTAACGTTTTTACCTTGATCCTAATATTTTAACAATTACTGAACTTGAATATTAACAACTATTATAACGACAAGCAGCACTAGTGGTTATATCACCGTCTGGGAACGCAGCCGAAATCCAAGTGACCACTGCTCCATGCGACCATGTGTCCCTTGGCTCGAGTAGATAAGGTCATATCCGGTATACAGTGTTGCCAGCGCCAACATAAGTTTCTATTTAATTAACAAATTCAGTTCGTTCATTCCGAAAAAGAGATGTGAACGCGCTAAGCGTTTTTTGAGCTAGAATTTTTTACTCCAAAATCAGTCTATAACAAATTGAATCGGTCTACCTCATTGCTTCGAACCAAGTATTATTGAGTAAACTGAAACACCAAAAACTAAATATATATCTTTATGGTAACATGAGTTAAGTTTGGAAAACTTTGTCATATATGATGTCAACTGCAGTGAGAATTCCAACTACGTCTTAATTATTATGTCTATTTATTTGCATGTATAGATTCATTTGAATGATTTCTTTCGTACTTCATGGCAGTATATAGGGGAGGCCTATGTTCAGCAGTGGACTCAAACAGGCTGAAATGATGATAATTTTTATTTAAGCGTAATTTGACGCGAAAGAACCGAGAAACAAGCTAAAACATATTTTTCTTGTATAAGTATATACACCCAGAATAGAAAAATGTTATGATAATAAAAAATATATTTCCCAGGATAGATCCCACACCTTCTTATAGTTGCACCGTAGACTACGCAAATTAGATTATCAAGCACTTTTATCATAAATGCGTAAAGTCAAAAGTTTGTCTGTTCTCTATTTATGCCGCTGCAGCGTGGATTCGTTTTAATTACTATTATGATATCACTACAGTAACACATAAATCCTATTTACGGTTATGTCAACTGAAATTTGTAAAAGCTAGATACAGTGGTTACGCATACGCTAAACATGTCGGAACGACCACTATCGCTAACGCTACAACTTTTACGCGAACTTAAGGGTAATGTAAATAATTGTTTTAACTAATAAATTATGCTACTTCTAATAGTGTCAACTTAATACGTAACTATCTAACTAGTTTAACGTTTTAAATTTAAAAACATTTAATTACATTTTAATATTGTAACATGTTACATTTAACCAACATTATCTCTGGATAAGTCTGAAAATAATAACATTTGTTTCAATTAAAAGTCCCACCAATTTAAATGTAGCAAGTTATTTTTTGTATTTTTATTAATTGTAATTTTTTGTACAAAAACTTTCGGCGCTGCGGGATTCGAATCTGCATTTCTGGTTTTGCGCCCAGATGCTTCACCAACTTAGCTAAGCGGTTGAAGACCATATGGTCTTGGGGCAGAGACTAGCACTAAAAATAAAAATTAATCCCATAAAAATACAAATTACATCCACGCTTGATAGTGGGAAAAACATAATGTAACTGACCAGAAAATGCATTGGAGACGATGTCAAGCCGAATGACAGGCCACTAATATTGAGAAATGTCGCAAACGCAATCGCTTTCCCGCTATTTTCTCTGACAAATTAAATTTCCACTGAAGTTACTTTGATTTCATTTAAATGAATTTCTCAATTAAATCAACAGAACTTTCTTAAGTCTTAATTCCACAACATTGACAGTTCACGCTCGTTCAAACTAAGTGTACAGACAACAAGATACCTATTATTGACTCTGTTTAAATATTAAACGATGGGGATGCTGAAACAAAGCTGTGACGATATACAAAATGGCTGATGCAATTAAATACACTGAGCTTATTTTCAACCGTCTTCAAAAAGGAAGGACGGTCTCAATTCGGCTGTATTTCTTTTATGTTTGTTACCTCAGAACTCCGTCAGTCTTTAAATGATTTTAAAACTTATTTTTCCATTAGTCTCGAGGTAACTTCCATATGGCCCCACATTAATTTCATCGGTATTAGACTTTGGAAAAACATTACTCCTTAAAATTAATAAACTGACCTACGTTTGATAAATACGTTTGACGTGTTTGAATGCACACGCAGTATGCTACATAAAATATTAGTTAGTATGGTAAGTTAATATTACTCGGTATTCGATAACCGAACTTTCAAACTTTTTTGCGCGTCTTTTCTATATATGTATATTTATATTATTTATGATCATTTCGTGGCCAATTCGGACCACCTTTTTAGAATTGAAATTCCAAAATTTTGGCCTCTAATTAGATGGGGCCTGGCTCTATAAATTTGACAGTGTAATGTCAGTTTCAATGATTCTAGAGCTTATATTTCAATATTAACATGCATAAGCTAAAACTAACACTTAACTTTAAACTACGTATTTATGTTTTTGTACATCGTGTGTGTATATACGTGTGCATTTCAACTGTGTATATGTGCTAATGGCACCTTAGAAAGCTTTACATTCTTAACTAGATTCTTAATTTTAATACAATTCCTAAAGTAGTCTACTAGAATAAATTACCATTAGAAACAAAATAAAATCGCGCACACACTTTTAGTGGTGAGTGCTTAATTAACGACTTAGAAAGGAAATCTACTCAGATTATATTTTGGCAGGATGCATCTAGCGAATTGCTTTGTTTTTCTCCTAACACAGGAGGTACACGGGTCACATAATTTTATTACGGAAACTATCGACGGTCGTAAACCTTTTGTGTCTTAATAAAACTTGTGCACGCTTTAAGAGACGGAAATTCTCGACATCAACAATAACGTCTCCAAAATTATTTTCGGTATAAACTTGCTTATCAACCCGTCGTAGTACCCGGTTAATCTCGTTGTTGGTGCCAACGTTATTATTAATTTCTATGTTAACTTCTCATTTGTCATGAATTAGAAATACAGTGAGCACTAATAAATTTTAGATAGAGGTATATGCAATGACTTTATAAAAGCCGTAGCACAATATAAGTAACAAAATAGCAATAAAAAAAACGTGTCCGTCGCCTCGGATATTGCAATAGCAATTTCTCGTTGCAACGTCGTTGCAAATTCCTTGTTAACGAAAGAGACAATCAATAACTGTTAGAATGTCTTACAACAGATTCAAACTTCGACCGTGACTAAATGTGAACGTGTATAACGCCAGAATTTTAAAATTAAATATTGTCCCGAACAACCAAATTGTAATCATCCGGATAAGTACCACGACCTCACAGAAGACCGGCGTAAAGTGGAAGTATAATACTTTCGCGTTTCGTCTGGTGGGTGAGGTAGCCGGAGCCCAATTTCCAAAAAGGTTGTCAACGCATCTGCATACCCTCGGGTGTAGCAGAAGTC